GTATTAGAGGATTATCATTTCTGTGTAACAATAATTATTTAAAAACTTCATAATACACAATATTTTTTGTCTGTCGATCTTTGTTTCTATTTATGTTATTTGGTATAAGAATTTTGATGCATCAGTAAGAAGTGATTCTCGATAGAATAACATATAGCTAACCATGCGAAAAAACTGGCTGTAACATATAGAGATCCACTTGATTTAATATCTGGCCCTATGCTTTATTAATAGTCATAGAAAATGCAACTCGTATGGAAAATTGGCATTGCATTAAAGTAAAAGGCAAACTGGTATCAAAAGGTGTTAATATAATTCTAGGTATGAAAATGTATTGTCCAATATATGAACCTGTCATAATTTTTGCATCGATTACCTTACTAAGAAGTCTATAACAAATTAATTAAATCCTATTACAAAATCCTTTTGATGGGTCTAAGTTTCATAAAAGTATAATAGATATTCCTACTTTTAACTTTAATTCATCAGGAGGGAGACCACAAATATTTAGGAATCTTAAAAATTCAGGGAAATACAATTGAAACTGTTCCATATTACTGTCCTCTAAACCTATAGAGTCTGTACTGTAATATGTGTAAACTTCACTTGGAAGCCGGTTCATAATCAGATTAGAGATTTTTTCAACTTCATTATTCTTTAAAGTTAAAATGACTTTGCTAACCATGTAATTCATATTGCCAGAATTTTCAACTAAGTTTGGATAAACGAAATCGATAAGATCCGACAATTGCCCTCTAAGTATTACTATGTCTGAAGGAAGTTCTATCTTGTTTTCTGTGTTTGGAATAATTGAATACTTTCCATCTCCAATTTGTAAGAGAAATTCAACAAAATTTCTTTGTCTTCGGTTCTCATTAGCATCATTAGTCTGATGAAGTCTCATATTAATTATCAATTTTATTACTCTTAGATATTTCCATAAAAATGATCGGCTCAAGCTTGCTGAAACAACATCAGCGCGAGACGCATGTAGTATGATAGGCAGAACTTAACGAAAATCTCCCTCAAAGATAAAAATCTTTTTACCGAATGGCTTATCTATTTTGGTAATGTCATAAAATGTCCAGTCAAGTGTTTTAAATGCAAACTTATAGATCATTAGGGCTTTATCCCAAATAAAAAGTTTTGCGATATTAATTAAATAAGTCTCTTTGCTTCTTTGTAAGATATTGCATGTTGAAGACTCATTTAGTTTTAGTGGAATTTTAAATCAACTATGTGCAGTTTGACCACCTGGCAAAATTTTTGAATATATGAATTACATTCATCTAGTATGTCCTATAAGTTCTTTAGAATAACCTTATTTAACTCCTGCACAATATTACATCAGTTTTCATTTTCATGCACAGTGTCATAGATATATAATTGAACAAATGTTGGAGAGCATCCTTCTTTGGGCAGTAACGGTTCAACATTATGATAAACTTGATCATGAATCCAGAAATCAAACACACCAAGTTCCTGAAACTCATTAATTATATTAGCTCCAAATGATGTACATGCTAAGATGTTATTATAGCTTCTGATGTTCTTGCAAAATGAATTTCCATCAGATCCAACTGAAATATAAAGGTCTAGTAAATATGGTGGCAGCTTAGATAAGGATGGTAAGTGAACCTTTTCATGGGCACAACAAATTGAAAATTTTGAAGATTTTCTGCTACTACTCTGATCTTTTTCTTCTATTCAAAACTTGACGCTACAATAAATACATGTCTAATCTATCCTTTCCAGTTTATAACGTTCTTGATTAATCTGAATCTTGTCATCAGTTTTCGATATAATATTATTATCAACGACCTTAGTTGTAATAATAGTAACATCTGATTCCGGTTCATAATCTAGATATTTAATGGATTCGATAGATTTGATGTTTTCCTTATATGTGATTGCTTTTATGTTATTAATTTTTCACTTTTTTATATAATGCTTCTGTCTTTCCCTAGCAAGTAGCCTCTTTTGGCATTGTTTAGAAGTTTTGTCAGGTTTTTGTCTGTGTGCTATCAAATTTTCAAATGACTATTTGATTATATCTAAAAATATCACGTAAGATGGTTGGAAGCAGTTTTCATCATGCGAGTTTAATATTATATGCATCAGTGTGATCCTCATCACAAATGATTGGACAAAATACACAATAGAATGGTGGTATAAAATGTCTTGGAAACAGTATTTGTAATGCGAATTCATTATTATATGTTTATAATGCAAATTCATTATCATATACATTAGTGCAATTATCATTACAAATAGTTAGACAAACACTCAATAGAACGATAGTAGAAATCAAGTATAATGATATATATGAAAATCATATTTAATTAGGTTCCCATTGTTCCGCTTAATTATTTAGTTGTTTTAGTAAAGATCTACATGGCATTTAAAGATCAATTTTTAATTTTATGTAGCTATTTGTTTATCAATATTAGAATGGATTACATTGGTTTTCAACTTTTACTTGATAAGTTTATTAAGGATTTTTTTTTATTTGAATAAATGTATCTATGGTATTTTATATAAGAGAGTAGTACTGATCTATTACCAGTTTATAAATCTATATAAAGAAGTGATTTCTTTTTCTGCACATTATAAAAACTATACGATTCATATTAGAATGATTATTTTTTTAAACCCTCAAATATTTTTTCAACTCTATCTCTCGTTCAGTAAGTGTCTAATATATATGAATTTAATTAATTATTAATTAATTAAATATATACTAATTTAAATATTTAAGTGAGTTATCACTACTTTCATCTATCATTTGGTAAGCTTCTTATGTAAATTTATTAATACTTAATTAATTTGAACTAATTAATTTATATTTAACTGTAAGTGATTTTCTATGATTAAAGTTAA